GGGAGTCCAGTGTTTTCTGGCCAAGATGGCACCAGTCATGCAGACCTGCGAACCATTCCCCTGATGAACACCAGGAGCATTAAAGGCAGCAGACGTGCTATACTCACTGCTGGGACATTAATTGCCAATCGGAATTCATGCTTCTAGCCATTTGTTTATCTTTAGAATTAAGTAAAGACTTACCTTGTGTTCTCCGTGTTACAGCCTCGACTCCTATGACTCTCCTGTTCCTCGACTCCTTGCGGAAAACCCTAAGATCCTGGTCAACCTCCTCTGCTGTCTCTACCGCCTTCCTACCACCTGCCAGCCATACTGTGGACTCACTGCTGGCGCCTTCTTTCCCCTCGCTGGAACCGTCTGGAACATCCTTCTATGCGGCGATCTCAAATGTCTTCTGTAAGCAGAGAAAAATATTATTCACCATCTCCTGAAGATCCACACCTGACCTCTCTTCTTGTCCTCCAGGGATCCAGATCCTCCTTTGTAAATAGATGAAATTATTTTCACTGTAAATAAAACACTGTTAACTATTCCAAGTCGGAGTCTGCTCACTTCAGTCCATATTATCTGGGTATTACTACAAAAATCTACAATGATGTTGTTTTCCTTTTTTTCACATTGAGAAAACAGTTCACACCTTCAATCGTTCAGGTGCGACTTTCCATTTTTGCCTAATAATTTATACATGAATGTATAAATCTAATTAGTCTAACCTCAGCTTTAAGCATGGGCAGGCCTATTTATATAATATTTAAGTGGGTTAATAACATAAATTGTTACTCAGTTCCTTCTTCAGTCTTCAGCATACAGATATTCATTCTTTTCAAAGCTGCGACAAGAAAAGATGTCTCCCATAGGTACATGATCAACAGGTCTGAAAGACTTCACCTGCTGGGCTCTGTTTCCATGGTAATCTGGTTTAGGTCAAGGAAGAAATGTGACAGAGATTAATTAAAGCGGCCTTTCATCACCACACGTTCCCTCCCTTTGTCTATTCCAGCCCGAGAAATGGAACGACACAAAAGGACAAGGTGAGGACTTTAAGACACGATCAAAGCAACATCTCATTCATCGACGTGTTCTCTTGTTCCCCTCAAGGTGACACTTTTCAGTTCTCTCGTTCTCTTTGTTCTCTGATGATTACCTCAAACAACCAGAGAGTCAAGCTGGAGGTTTTCCTGTGTGTGAGTAAAAACCTTGACTTCATTCAAAACTCCATCAGTAAAAATGGATTTTAATGGTATAAAGAGAAACATTTTGAAGCTGCTTTATAAAAGCACAGTTATTATACTGAATCAGGACTGTGACATGATTAATTTATTAAATTCTCAGAAATAAATTTGTTGTACATCTTAGGCCTGTCATGATAACGAATTTTGCTGGGCGATTAATTGTCACAGAAATGATTGCGATAAACGATAATATTGTTTGAAATTTGTCAATAATTAGTAATTATTGTCAAATTTAAGAAGAAATGTTGGTTAATTTTGTTTTGAGTGTAGTACCTTTTTTGACCACCTGACGGCAGTATAAGACTGAACCGAAGGATGGATGATGAGAGAGCCAGCAGCGTGTCTCTTTAAGAAAAATGGGAGGGAGGCCCCTTGACGTGACACGGGCTGTCTTTCCTTCTTTTTTCGGTTCTCAAAATGGTAGACCCTCGGTGTGGTTTGAGCTCTTTAGCATAGCATTTTTCACATAAAGCGTTTAATTAAAAAAATCAAAACAAGTTCTCTGCTTTGTTTTTTTCTGAGAAAAACAACTTTTTACATGACGGCATGGATTTCAATCGTGAATTTTGGAGCTTTGACAAGACAGAGGCTTTTTCCCGAGGTCAGCCTGTTAGCTTAGCTTGTAGTTTAGCTTCACAGCTTAGCTGCTTTTAACCATCCAAAAACACGATTTTGGATGGTTAAAATGGATTTTAAAGAGAAAAGAGAAATGGAGGGGTCAGTGAAGAGCACCGGAGCTTAGTCTTTTGTCTTCCAGTGTCTTCAGTAGAAAGAGAGAGACATGAAGAAACGATAAAGCCGATAAATGAAAATGAGGTTGATAATTTTCATTTATCATGCGATTTATTGATTTATTGATTTATTGTTTATCACAACAGGCCTAGTACATCTACAACTGATTAACTTTTTATCAACTCAATTCAAGATGACAATCAAAACTAGCCAACAGAAAGAGCTACAACTGTTTAATTGATTTTAGGCTAAAACTTTGTGTGGTAGTAGGTGAGAGTCATCCCAGTCACACAATCCAAGCACTAACAGATCTTGTCTTTGATTAAAAGGTTGATTTTAGTAAAATTATGGATCATGATACCATTTTATTAAATAAAACATTTTATATTCCTTAATCGTATTTATTTAATTTGAAATTTTGACTCTTTCTTGCCATACACAATGCATCTAAATCGCATTTTTCTTCAAGCAGTATCACTGTTGTTCGTTTTCAAAGAGCAGGTGAAACACCATGGTTCCTGTCCTTGCAGACCGGATCTGTTGGGATGCACTGGGATGGATTTGATTTCCATTAAGTGTCATCCGAATCTCAGCCAGGAAAGAAGAGAACGTACTGACCCAAACACAATGTTGTTATGTTTAAATTCTTCCGGCTGAAGGCATCATTTAGTGCAACCTGCGCTGTAACCACAATAAAATAAAGTAGTGAAAACAACGTTTTAACTTTTTGTCAGTTAAGGTTTTTTAAAGAACTCTTGGTGGACATCAGTGAAACTCAACTGCACAAAATACAAGGATTTAACATTCTTTTTCAATTGATATTTCATTGATCTAAATTTAACCTGAAATTGAACTGTGTTCACCAGGAAAACAGATAAAAATCCAAATTAATTTATCTGTCAAATATGTGTGCATAAACAGAAGCAAAGATGAAAAACCATGCAGGTTGGGAGAAAACTGATTGCAGCTCAGGATCAGGAAGAATGGAAGTTTATCCCATTTTTGACGCTGTGATTCTGAGACGGGACATTTTAGTGTCCTCAACTGTTAGTGTCATCTTCCTCACCTCTCTTTGCCCTGTTGTGATGGATGGAAACATTAGGTATGGATAACATTAAATCACCTACAGATGACAATGATTAAAGCAATCTGCATGTCTGCATTTATATAATAAGCATAGCAATGCAAATTCTTGTTTGATCTCTGTGTAGTACATTCAGAACCAAATTATTACTATTTTTCACAAGCTCACTCCATTGACTATTAATTTGCACTCGAAACATTCATCTCATAAGTACCTCTGGTTTGTCTCAACATGATCTTTCCATGAAATGCAGTCAGGTGAAACTAATGAAGCTGACATATCAGGTTTACCAGCATCTGATCATTTTCTAGACAAAAAGCTGGATTACTTTTAGCTAATTGATTAAGAGCACTCTAATAAATGGTGCACCTGGAAGAACACCATTTAAAATGTCACCAAGTGAGTGGAAGACGAGGAACAGGGGAACTCTCATGGAAAGGTATGTCGCACAAGCAGATTGAAGAAGTGGCTGATAGTGGCTAGAAAGAGCTGAACCCCCAACTCTTGCAATGGAAGACGACTGCTCTAACCATTTAGCCACAGCCTCTTGTTGAATGAAAACTGTGTACAACATCTGTTTGCTTTATTCATTTGAAGATTACATTTTAGTAGTGTTCTAGTCAAGACCATCTAACCTGAGACCAAGTCAAGACTAAGACCAGAGTGTATCGAAACCGAGACAAGACCAAAACTTTAAGGGTCCGAAACCAAGACCTCAAATAAAATACATATAAAATTGTATTATAATTGTTTTCTAAAAGTTACATACTGCAACTTTAAGTTTACTTTTGAATGAATATATCAGCTTTTATAAAAATTTCAAAGCTACACAAAGAAATCAGACATTCAGTGGCCTAACTTTGTGATTCAACAATAAAATTACACAACTGTTAAACTGGAAGAGTTTCATCACGTCAAGCCTTAAAAAATTGCAGTGGCAAAACCCTCTTCATAAGTCCATACTCAAGACCAAGGATAACCATAGAGTTGCATTAGTTACAAGTATATTATTTGTGATTTAAATAGCCATTATTTTATAACTGATGATTTGGCAGACATCTTCTCCTGCACCCAGACAATCACTTGAGTGACGGTGCGAGTGAAAGGGTGGGCGTGACAGCGGTAACAAAAAATGTATTTATCAATGAGTCGTGTTATCGCTTGGATTTGAACCAGTACGTTTTGCATCCAATAAAAGCAAGGATGTTAACAAACAAACTGGACAATATTCTGGCAATTGAGTGATATTTCCACAGTTGTGGTCTTGATTGATCTTGAAATAAAATCCCGAGTCCTCATTGTCCGAGACCAAGACAAGACCAAGACCAAATGCGGTCGAGTCCGAGACAAGACCGAGACCATCAAAAAGTGGTCTTGAGACCGGTTCTCGAGTACTACAACACTACATTTTAGTATGTGTAGTAAATGTTTGTATGTGTGCAAAGAGTGCAAACATACTCGTCTGACCCAACAAAATAACTTTATTATTGAACTTACATGGCCACCGCATTGTTCAAGCCAAGAGACATTGTCAGTACTGGGGGCGAAGCACCCCGAAAAGTCAGATTCTAGAATCGCCCCTGCACAACAGGAAAATGTAGACACACAGTCTGACCTGTCGGATTAGACAAACATGTTTGTTTGTTTTGTTTATTTTTGAATATTTATTTAAAAACTATTGTATATTTGGGCCTTTTAAAAAACGTTTGTTTTATATTGTCGAGACCCTGAAACTTTCGTATAAATACGATAATTATTGTTTATCTGGCAACACAAAGGGGAAGCGAAACCAGTGGTCACGCGACGCATTACAGGAAGTGGCTGGTAGTTAAGCTAGCAGCAGTTTGTACAACAGCCGTCCGTAATGATACGAGCTGTTGAATAAAATGTGTCCGTGTCGCCGAGCAGACGTGAATTAAAGCCGAACATTAGTGTGGAACAAACAAACTAAAATGGACCTGAAAATAGCGCTTGGGATCGCTCTGTTTGTCGTTTTCTTAACCTCGCGGGTAAGTTGAATCGATTAGCACCAGCTTATCTGTTGGTTTGATTATTATTGGTTAAAGTTACGGCGGAAAATTAAGACGTTGATTGTTTAAATTAAACAGTTTAACTTTTGGTTTTGTGTAATAGACGAGCTTTCTGTAAAGTCAGTATAGCTATGCTAGGTTAGCATCTTCATACATCGGTCAAAGACGGAAAAAAAATGCTCTGCTTAACACAGAGTTTGTGTTTAAGTAAATATAATTGTATGACAAAAATTAGCTTTCACCCCACTGGTAAGCTGCTGTTGTAATTTGGCCAGCCGTGGATGGGTTTGTGAGTGTGGCCGGGTTTTTCCCACGATGTCCTACAGCACCATAAACACAAAGCTTATTTTATAACTTTCTATGTTAAAATTAAAAAAAGTAAACGTTGAAGCAGAACAAATATGTGTAAAGGCTTAGGTTTAAAACTTCTTCGGTATACCCGACTGACTGAAAGATTGTACATTAGTAAGCAGAGGTATATTGAAAGCCACAACAGCTTTTAGTTATTTTTTTTACCACTTCAAGTTATGTTTCATTTTTGACGTTGACCTTTAAAAGGAGTTAATTTAAGGATGTTTTCAAACCTGAGCTGTTTCTGTTCAACCTGAACAATCTTGTATCACTTACTGCTGGTATAGTTGAAGCTGTCATGATTATACATTAAAAGTAATTAGCTGACACTTAATGCAAAAGTTTAGGGTGTGAACTTTGAGGTAAACACTTTGCTTTCACTTGTCCACCTTGGAAGAGTTTAAATGTATCTTAAAATGCCAGCTTAAGAATTTTTTTAAGTAATTTTATTTTACTGAAAGCACACTAAATAAGCTTGATCAAATAAGTAAAATAGATTCCCTAAAGGGCAACTTTTATCAACACAGTACAGGTTTTAAAACACAAACGCTGCACATAGTCCACTTTTATGGTTTGAGTATCTCACCTTACTCGCCTCATTTAACCTTTGAGCTACTAAATTTGTAGGAAGTGAAAGGAAAATAAATGTTTGGCTTGTTTTTATCTAGAAATGCCCAAGTGTTCATCTGTGATGTAGTGGTGGGAATAAGATCGCTACAAGAGATCCTTCCTGCCCACAGCCATATCAGCATCTATAACAACTCTTTAATGCAACCAGGATGATGAGTTACAACATTTAACTTCCCTCTGGGATTAATAAAGTATTTTTGAATTGAATTGAAAAAAGTACATCATAATTTAAACATTACAGTCTTCAATACTGTTAATATATCACATAGTTTGTGAGTTGTTAATTTTATTTGGAGAAGTGGGACTGAGCTGAGCTCGTCATTATTCTTCTTGCAGAAAGTGAACAATAATTTGTTTATTTATTTTTTCAGATAAATGGCCAAGAAGCCATCTTGCACGTTTCAAACGGAGACATGTCTAGAGAGTACTGCATCGTCTACAACCGCTCCTGGACTACGCTCGCACCAGCACTTGATAATGCGGTAAGTTTGTTGGTTATCATTTTTCTTTACCAGAACCTTTATCTACTCTTAATTCCTTGCTCTTCCTTTCTTTTCTCCAGACGGCATACCCGTTGGTCAATTTGACCTCCACGTTGCTGTGTAATGCCGCAGGGGTTGATCCAGAGGCAGTGAAGGGCAAAGCGGTGGTGGTGATGATGGGGGAGTGTAACTTCAGCCAGAAAGCTCTGGTTGCCCAAAACCTCCACGTTTCAGTGTTGCTGATCGCGAGCACAAAATCACTGGTTAGACATTTCTATCAGTCTGCATCTTGTCATTGGATTAAACATGAGAATGTTTGATTTTACTATTTAACATGTCAGATTGTTTAACATTACTTTCCTTTAATGCTTCTAAATGATCAGAGTACTTTTGTCAGGAAAAACGACTGTACAGTCACAAAAATACGGAAGTGTCACATGAAAGATCGTAGGAGTTTCAGTTCTGATTATGTATTTTCTCAGTTATCTTTTCAAGTTTCTGTGTTAAAAAAAAAAAAAAAAAAAAGTTTATTTGTTCACATCTTTACTGCTTTTCAGATCACTCCATCAGACAATACATCCGAGTACCCAAAGATCAAGATTCCTCTGGCTCTCATGAGGTATCGAGATTTTCTGGAAGCAAAGCAGGTCAGAAATTTTTCCTTAACTTTTCTTGTGATTTGATTGTTTGCTTCCGGTTCTTCATCGAGGGTTGATTGGATTCTTTTTGGTCGTACTATGGGATATAAGGTGTTTTTTAGAAACATGGCGTTTATAAAACGAAGCTAAAAACACCTAGTTCTTTCACTCCCTCCTTATTATGCTGAGGACCAACAAGTTGTTTCTCTTTCTATTAATATAATTAAATATTTGTGTTTTCTATTGTTGCACAACAAGTTTTCTTTAATGAGATGTTTAATGATTGCATCTTTGCATAGCAGTGGAATCCGATGTCTCTCACCTTATTTACACCCGTTTGCTTCTCTCCCATGCTTTGTGTTTACATATCTGTGTTATTTTGACTATGTTCACCATAAAGATGCTCTCATTATAATAACCTTTTATTTTTGTTGTCAGAAAGCCAAAATCAAACTTAAAATTTTGATTGAAAGCTGCTCATTATGACGTTGTTAGGTTAGGTTTGATTTGTCATACGCAAATCAACACAAAGTCAACAATGCAATGACATGTTCAGGATGAAAAGAACTGTCTTGACTCACCAAAAAAAACAACAAGAAATACCAAAGCATGCAACAAAAATACAAAAACAAGGTGCCAAAAATGAGAGAAATTTATATACAGCAGCATGGTCCTATTAGCAGAGTGGTTCTGTTGGCACTGAGGTTCTTTTAGCATCATGATACTGTTAGCTGTGTAGTTCTGTTAGCAGCATGATCCTGTTAGCTGTATGGTTCTGGTAGCAGCACGGTACAGTTAGCTGTGTGGTTCTGTTACCATCATGATACTGTTAGCAGCGTGGGACTGTTTTCAGTGTGGTACTGTTAGTAGTGTGGTTCTGTTAGCACCATGATACTGTTAGCAGCATGGGACTGTTAGCAGTGTGGTTCTGTTAGCACCATGGTTAATGTTAGCAGCTTGGAACTGTTGGCAGTGTGGTACTGTTAGCAGTGCGGTTCTGTTAGCACCATGGTACTGTTAGCAGCGTGGGACTGTTAGCAGTGTGGTTCTGTTAGCACCATGGTTAATGTTAGCAGCGTGGGACTGTTGGCAGTGTGGTACATTTAGCAGTGTGGTTCTGTTAGCACCATGGTACTGTTAGTAGCGTGGGACTGTTTGCAGTGTGGTACTGTTTGCAGTGTGGTACTGTTAGCACCATGGTTAATGTTAGCAGCGTGGGACTGTTGGCAGTGTGGTACATTTAGCAGTGTGGTTCTGTTAGCACCATGGTACTGTTAGTAGCGTGGGACTGTTTGCAGTGTGGTACTGTTAGCAGCGTGGTTCTGTTAGCACCATGGTACTGTTAGTAGCGTGGGACTGTTACCAGCATGGGACTGTTAGCAGTGTGGTTCTGTTTTCAGCGTTGGACTGTTAGCAATGTGGTTCTGTTAGCACCATGGTACTGTTAGCAGTGTGGTTCTGTTAGCAGCGTTGGACTGTTAGCAGTGTGGTTCTGTTTAGTGGCATGGTCTTGTTAGCATCATGATGATAATAATGACCGCAGCAACTGCCCTCCAGAACCAGGTTTGGCAGCCAGAGAACATCAAAGGTTTCTCCCCGGAACCAAATGGGCCTGTAGAGTTCGATCCGTGTAGGCAGATGGAGAATCATGGAGATGGCCGCCATGACAGGCCGAAGCCTTCCCGAAGCTGGAAGGGGGCCGGGAACTGAACCACGATGGCGCGATGGAAAGGCAGTGACACACAAAACTCCAAAAGTGCGTTGCGGTCATACCTGTAGTGTGGATGTGCAGTGTAGGTGCAAAAAAAGTTAAAACAAAAGCAACAGGAACAAAAAGGAGCGAGTCAAAGCGGAGCTCCCGTCAGCACTACAATTCTGTGGTGCACGTGACGTCAGATGTTTTATTGTGGTCTCTTTCAAGAAGTGAGCCAAACTTGCTCCATGGCTGGGCTAAACCTGACATTAAGGCACCACCTTTAAGTTTTACTCGTTAAGAAGACACAAGCCTTCAATTTGTACAGGTAAGTTTAAAGCAAGCGGTGCTGGTGGAAGAGATAAGGAGTCTCAACAAAGATACCCAGCAGAAAACTATCTGTCCTTGAAAGGAAATGTTGCAGCTTCTACATGAAGGTCGTCCTAAAAATCTGTTTATAGCAGTTGTCCACTCCAGAAAACATCGCCACCATTTTGAGTTGCACTTGGCTGAAGCTCCCGTGAAAAATTAGAACAGCCTTGTTAAGTTTTAAGTTCTCAGGAAATTAGTCTACTCGTAATTGCTCTCATTTAAAGGCATTCATGCACCTTGGAAGAAGTCAGAACTTTGGTTCTTCCCCAAATAATGTCATGTATCACTGCATTCATGCTGTTGGAAGTGTTTATCATTTCTAAATGTTAAAATTTGTTTTTCCTCAGGTGTTTGGTGAGACAATGACGGTGAAGCTGTTTGCACTGCCTTTTTCAAAAATTGATTCAAGCATCGCTGTCATCCTGCTGATTTCTGTGGCAACGATCACTTTAGGCGGTTTCTGGAGCGGAGCATATGAGAGGTGAGAGTTTCACCACAGAGCTGAAAGATTAAAGAAAAACTTGCATGTAACTGTGAACCCTATAATGTGACTACATATCATTATCAGGGGCAGAACGGTAGTGCAGCTGGTAGAGCTGCCACCTCTCAGTGAGCAGGTCGTTCCGGTTCAAATCCCAGCCGGGGACCTGGCAGAGTTTGTTATGCATGGATTTTCTCCGGATACTCAAGTTTCCACCCACCCTCCAGAAACAAGCATGCTAGGCTGACTGATAACTAAATTGTCCCTAGGTGTGAGTGAATGGTTGTTTGTCTCATTTGTTTCTGTGTCCCTGTGATGGATGGACTGGAGACCTGTCCAGGGTGTACCCCACCTCTTGCACAGTGATAGCTGGATATGGGCACCAGTGACCCCCGCGATCTGAAAAGGAAGAAGTGGGTAAAGAGATGGATGGATGGATGGATGTCATTATCAGGTTGTGTTTATCTCAGAACTTTGATTTTGTTTCTGTCCACAGACCGTAACAGTACAGTAGTCCTTCATCAATCGCAAGTGATGCATACCGTGAAGTAGAGTTGCATTTGGGTCCAAAAAATCCGACCCGGCCCCAGCCCGTAGCCATAATTTCCAAACCCCACCCGATCCGACGAATTAACAGTAATTGCAGGCCCGAACCCGAAATAAACCCCCGACATTTTTAATTAAGCTTTCTTTGACTCCTTATGTAGTTATTAACGGTCGGCAGCTGAGTAAAGAAGGCAGAAGATCGGAGCTGGGGGGATGTTTGTCCTTTCGTGGCTGTCTAAGAGCATTAAATCCCTGCTTCTGCCTGCATTCTGCATTATTCAGACATGGACCCTGCTCTGACCCGTCAGATATTTTGTGATCTCACCTGTTTGGGTCATCGGCCGTGCGCGTCTGCTGAGTGCTGCAGCTGAATGAACGTCCATTTGGGCTGATGGATCGCTGCCTGGCAGTAGTCCATCTGAAGCATAACTGAACTTTTTACCTCTTTCAAGGCCGGTCAGCGCACAGTGAAATGGCCGTGTGCGGCAGGTGATTGTATGACAAGCCATGTTGCCATATAATTTGATCGTCAGCAGTGTGCGTCCGCTGACACAATCAAAAGCCCGACTCTGACCTGGCCCGCACATTAAGCACATTATTATGGACCGGCCCTAATCCGGGTTGAGCGGGGTCGGGCTCCGGGTTAGAAATGACAGCTCTACCCTGAAGCCCTGTGATAAGTGAAAAACCGTGCAGTAGGAATAGTAGTACAAGTAGTAATTAGTAGTTTATTTTAGTATTTATATATTAAGGCTTTTTTAACCCTTTCCAAACTCTTGCAATATTCTAAACAATATTTCTAAACTCTAAAGGCTCTAAAAGAGCACAGCATGTCATGATTTCAGCTCCCTTCCTCGTCTGCTCTTTGCCACCTGCAAGTGTTTTGGCCACGCCCACTCCTCCGCTCTGCACGGAGATCAGCTGCAGCAGGAAGTTTATCCTGCAGTGTGGGCTGCACACAGGTGCTAAATAATAAAATATATATATTTTAAATAAAAATTCCATGCCAATCATATATCTCATCCATCAATCAACCAATTGTGTGTCATGTCCAATCATTCTGATAAACAACGATGGAGCGAGTCCACGATAAATGAACTGCGAAGTAGCGAGGAACTACTCTATTGTGCAGAATGCACTCATGGAAATCACACAAATAAAATGATCTGTTCTTTGCAGAGAAAGACTGAATAACAATGTTTGTGGGGGAGGCAGTGAAACTAAAGCAAACGGCAGCGAACTTTCCCTGTACTCTCCTCTCAAAGTGATTATCTTTGTTGCCTTGATGTGTGGAATGTTGGTCCTGATGTACTTCTTCTACAACATTCTGGGTGAGTGGATCAAACAATATATATTTTTTTATCACTAGAACAGGATCTGGGGGTGCTTTGCATTTCCTTAGTGAAATCTGTATTTTATTTTTTTCAGTTTACGTCATTATTGCTATATTCTGCCTCGCTTCTGCCTCTGCACTGTTCAGCTGCTTCAGTGCTGTGATGGACAAACTCGGCTGTGGCACTTTAAAGTACGAGTTTCAGTCTTTCTGAAGTTATTATATCCACGGTGAAGTAACTTTTTCCAGGTGGAGAACAGAGCTGTCTGTGTATTATTGCTTTTCCATAACACATCTTTGTCTGACTCAGACTTCAGCCTCCTCAGTTGTTTGAGTTCAGTTTGTATATTTATTTCTTTTAGCGTCTCCGTCAGAAACAGGGACATCTCTGTGAGGTCTGTCCTGCTGGCTGCTGTGTGCATTAGCATCACTGTGGTCTGGGGAGTGTACAGAAATGAAGACAGGTACTCTAGAGCTGTACAGTCGCACACTCACAGTGTCATCCGTTTATCTCCATCAAAAATCAGCATTTTTTATGTCTTTGTAGATGGATCTGGATTTTGCAGGACCTCCTTGGCATTGCTTTTTGCCTCAACTTCATGAAGACCATCTCTCTGTCTAATTTTAAGGTATATTGTTCCTTTGAGAGTCTTAAGTTTAGTTGTTTTGTATTGTCTGCGGATTTGCTTTTTCCTCTTTAACATATACTTTTCTGTTGGCATATCACACACAGGTCCGTTACCCACAAGTTCACTGACAGCTGACAGTCACTAACCTTTGACCAGTGTGTCCGTCTTATGTGCCAATAGGCCTCGTTTACAGCAGACGTTTTGACTAGAAAAGAGAAGGAAAAGTTGTTCCCATTCTTCTGTTGGTTGTTCTGTAAAATGTGCTCAGGAGCAGCGCTTTCTCGAAATGCAGCCGTGATTAAAAGGCTTATATGACCTGTGTTTTCAAATCCAAATGCCTGCTATGAACAAAGGCATTTTTCAAACAAAACCATTTACCGTTAATGTCATCGTCATCTGTAGATGTGGCATTTTTGTTTGATGACGAGTTAATAATCAGTTTCACGTACTTGTTCAGTCTCTGTCGAGTAACGTTCTGGGCTCTGTTTAAACTCAAATTCCCTTTTGAAATGAAAAAGACCTCTACAAAAGGAAGAAAATGTTCTAAGTCCTTTTTGGTTGTTTTTTCTGTTGATAATTGGAATGATGTTTTGGTTTTTCTAATAAATTGTAGAGCAACACTCTGAGTTCTTGTGTGTGTGCGTTATATCTTTTAACAAGGAGTCTGAATTAATGAGGAAAATTACTGCATGTGTTTCTCGTGTGCTTTTCATGTCTGAAATCGGCCTTGTTTTTATTTTAATTAACATTTATGTCTGATATCCAACAGATCTGTGTGATTCTGCTGAGCCTCCTCCTTGTCTATGACGTCTTCTTTGTTTTCATCACTCCTTTCTTCACCAAGGTTTGTACAATTCAAAATGAAAAAAAAAAAACATTTTCTTCATCTCTTTTTCAAATTACTAGATTGTGAGATCTTTTTGTAGAGCAAAGTGTGATGATTTTATGGCCCGCTGATTAAAGTAATCTCTTTTCTCTCAACAGAACGGTGTTAGCATCATGGTGCAGGTAGCTCTCGGACCAGATGCATCTGGAGAAAAGGTACTTTTTTTTTTCCTGTATTTGTAAATTGAGAGAAAACACCACCTAATTGTATTATTTGTTGGCTTTTGCCAAAGTGCAACATAGAATGTTGAACTTATTTATGTTTTGACTTTGTCTTTGTGAATATGATGGTATAAAAGCACAACTTGTTATAAGTAAAATGCACTTTTTAATTTAATCAATCATATAAGCAGGAACAGCAAATTTATTATGGTCTTGATGCTTATTAAACCCATAGTGTGTCTTGAAATTGGTAACTGGCACATGATAGTAGATTCTGGTATTTAAAGTGGAGTGCAAAGCATAAATATAAAGATACATTTTGCAGGATGGCAGAAATGTTCTAATGTGTAGCTATAAATTGTTATTTTGTTCCAAATTTCCAAAAGGAAGAATGTTGTGAGGAGTTCAGAAAGAAGCTGTTAAAGGCTTTGAGTGGTAAGAAAGAGCTTCCAGATGACTGGGCTACTACAGCAACAGTAATTAGAGAGACAGGTAGGAAGTTACTTAGTGTGTCATCTGGACAGAGAATGGATTATAAGGAAACCTGGTGGTGGAATCATGAAGTGTAGAAAGTTAGTCAAAGAAAGAGTTTAGCCAAAAAGAAATGACAGTGAGAGGACTGAAGAGAGGAGACAGGAATATAAGGAGATGCAAAGAGGGAGGTGCCAAAGGGAAAGCAGAAGGAATATGATGAGTTGTATGGGAGTCTGGGCACTAAAGAGGGCGAGAAGGAGTATGGTTTCATGCAAAGAAAGCACCACAGATTCCATCTTTGATTTGAGAATGCTGATGGAGAAGTACAGAGAGGGTCAGAAAGAACTTCATTGTGTCTTTGTGGCTTTAGTTAAAGCATATGACAGAGTGCCGAGGGAGGAGGTGTGGTATTGCATGAGGAAATCTGGAGTGGCAGAAAAGTATGTTAGACTGGTCCAAGACATGTATGAGGACAGCAGGACAGTGGTGAGACGTGCTGTAGGAATGACAGATAGCTTGAAGGTGGAGGTGGGATTGCATCATGGATCGGCTCTAAGCCCCTTCTTGTTTGCTCTGGTAATGGACCGACTAACAGATGAGGTCAAGCAGGAATCACTGTGGACTATAATGTTTGCAGATGACATTGTGATCTGTGATGAGAACAGGGAAGAGGTGGAAGAGAACTTGGAGAGGTTGAGGTATACACTTGAAAGAAATGGAATGAAAGTCAGCCGTAGTAAGACAGAGTACATGTGTGTGAATGAGAGGGAGGCCGGTGGAACAGTGAGGCTACAAGGAGCAGAGGTCACAAAGGTGCAGGACTTCAAGTACTTGGGGTCCACTGTCCAGAAAAATGGGGAATGTGGTAAAGAAGTGAAAAAGAGAGTCCAGGCAGGATGGAGTGGATGGAGAAAAGTTTCAGGAGTGATTAGTGACAAAAGGGTGTCAGCAAAGGTCAAAGGAAAAGTTCACAAGGACAGTAGTGACATCAGCTATGGTGAAGACGGTGGCATTGACAAAAGGACAGGAGAAAGAACTGGAAGTGGCAGAAACTAAGATGTCGAGGTTCTCCTTAGGAGTGACAAGGATGGATAAGATTAGGAATGAGATCATCAGAGGTACAGCACAGGTTGAACAACTGGGAGATAAAGTTAGAGAGACCAGACTGAGATGGTTTGGACATGTCCAGAGGAGGGACAGTGAGTATATTGGTAAAAGAACTTTTTGAAATGCAGCTGCCAGGAAAAAGGTCAAAGAGGAGATACTGGTATATGGATGCAGTTAGAGAGGACATGGAGGTAGCTGGAGTGAGGACAGAGGATGCAGAGGACAGAGTGAGATGGAGGAGGATAACTCACTGTGGTGACTCCTGAAGAGGGAAAAGCTGAAAGGTTTTGTTGTGAACTGCGAGCATAAATCTGATTAGTGCGATAGTGTTGATAACATTTACAAAATAGTTTTGTTGATTTCATGTCGTCAAACACTGCATGAAAACTAGAACGCACGAATATGAATCTTAAGGTTAACAAGTTTATTAAATCCTACAGACTTATAAAATTTCAAACCATATTTAATTTGAAAGTCAAGTCCTGTTTCCTGTGCAGATTACTAAAGAACTTCATGGATTTTCTAGAAGAAAAACCTCGAGACAAGTTTCTTTTCGGCTGTTAGCGAGTTTTTGCAAATTTTACGAGGTCAAGCAGACTTGTCTATTGCTACCCATGAAGGTGTTCTCCATCTGTTGTCCGACTGGTTTCCCTTCCGTCTCAGCTGCAATCTTATTTTTATAGCCCAGAAAGGAGATGAGGATTCTCCCAGTGACATTTTAAAAATCTGACCTTTAATTCCTGTTAAATTTCTTATGTGAACATGCGGAAATAACCTTGAGAAAAATTAGCATATACTTGTGGAATCACAATGTTGCAAGTAAAACTGACCTTTTTTGAGACATGGTCAGTCATTGTATTGGGATTGTGAAACAATATCCACACTTGAGTTTATAATGTGCTAT